GGTATGGTTCTTGTTTGGTCTGATTTGGTCCATTATGACCCGAGTTTTGCACCACTAACAGTGGTAACAGATACTACTTGCAAGAAGGTTTTGACAGTGTAATTTGTGTGGCATATGTCATTATTTATCACTGAATGTTTTTTACGTGATGTATCCCAGGAAAAAACGTTTGGTAAGATTATCCACAGACATGGCGGTTTTATTGTGCTCTACAGAGGGAGGAATTATGACCGGAATAAGAGGCCAGAGATTCCATTAATGTTGTGGAAACCTCATGAACCTGTCTATCCAAGGCTTATAAAAACTACAATTGATGGCTTGAGTATTGAAGAAACCAAGGAAATGAGGAGAAGAGGATTAGCAATCCCTGTTCTGACCAAACTCGGTAAAATTTTATAATTGCTTATTCCCATTAGGTGTTTTAAGATCTTAGTGTTTATTGTATCTAACAACGTGTAGGGTTCAATCCACAGCTAAAAATGGCTATTATGCTAGCCTTGTACCCATGGTTCGAGATTCTTTTTTGACGGATGAGTTGGTGAGAATAGATTGTGGAGGGCTCCCGAGGAGTGATTACAAGAAAATCGGCTGCAAATTAAGGGTAACATTTGATTTAACTATTAGAGCTCGTTTGGCTACCTTAGAAAGTTTTACTTTGTCTGGAAAACAAAAAAGTTGAGCTTGACTACCTCCTTCATCATTTTAATTCATTTTCATTTACCCCAGTGCCGCAAAGGCTCCCACCTACGGTGGGGTAAAGGGGGGTCGGATGTACGCAGTCTTACCCCTGTACTAAAGCACAGAGAGACTGTTTCCGGATGACCCATAGTGAAAATCCCGTCCAAAATTGCATTGACCGAGTGTTGCTTCATAACAAAGAAGCGCAGACAGTTTAGTGAGTCATTTTGCTTTATTCCATCATAATCTCAAGCCAAAAAATAATGAATCTTTGGCTCCATTGCAAATGATGGAAAAGACTACCTCCTTCACCAATCAATCAATTTCTGTCTTTCCACAGAAAGTGTTCTTATTTTTATTCCAAACTAGGGAATCCAATTGTAGAGGTTTTTGTGATTGTGTGCGGAGGGGGGTGGCAAGACTTAACTTGAGAAGCTTGTGTGCACAGTTAAATGTGATATGCCTGGGATAGTCTTTTTTAGGTGAGAATTTTTCTTGTCAGTATGGAACTATATGTCGACTGTAGCATAGCATGGACAATATAGTTATATTTGTTAATTTGTTTCACTTCTTGGTCTGTTCGGTAGCCTTATCCAACATATTATTTTCCTTATTTGGCTGAGATAGATGTTACCAAATGTTTTCCCTTCAAGTTTCATCAAATTTAACTGTTTAACCAAAATAACTCTTATCAACTGGCCCTACTGCTCTCTTGAATAAATTGGAAGCATGTGATTCTGAACTCTGATACAATTGGGTCAATATGGATGCAGGATCTGGTCCCTTGTATCCTGGTAACGTTTGATAAGGAGCAGATTGTGGTTTGGAGGGGCAAAGACTATAAACCTAATAAAGAGGATGGATTTTTACTCCCGGATAGGGAACCATTTGATGAAGATGCAAAGGATGGTTTGTTTAGCTATCAAGAAGAAGAAGAAGAATGCAGTGTGAGGTTCTTGGATGGGGAGCTTCTTCTGAAAGGCGAATTGTCTCCACCTCACCATACTCGAACAGCATGACTTGTTCTGCTGTATAAAGCTACAGGCCTGTTTGGGATGCCTTATGCCTTAAGAAGTGGTTCTCATTTAAGCATTTTTTTTCCATTTTTTTTAAATCCGGTGCTCGTTAAATAAACACAAAAAGTGTTTTTCGTTTTGAATGAAAAACACATTTTCATATCCTAGTTAAATGATTCTTTTTTAAGGAAAAGTAATTTCTATCCTAAGAGACCGCTTATGATATGAAAACAAGTCATCCCTAACACTCTATAGTGCTTAGCAAGGAAGTCTCAAGATGCCACGAAGGAGGTGGGGGTAGGAGGAGATGTTTGGAAAATTACCAACGGCTTTCAGGTATATTTCTCACACCGTTGATTGTACTTTGGCTATTTTCAACTGAGATAATATTCATTGCAAAATTTTGAAACTATTGATTTTAATTATCTAGAAGTCTTTTTGGACTAAACGAAAACAACTCCAGAGTGATACTTAAGTCCTTTTTTTAGTGTTAAAAGTCCTTAACGAGTCTATACAAAATATGCATCCTTTAGTTAAATCAATCTTTAACCTATCTTTGCTTGGGCATTTCTCTGACATTCCATATTATTGGTCTCTCACCAGGCACACCTGTATAACTTCATTTGAGTTCAGTAATTTGTTTAATGGTACTGATTCTCTCCTTGATATCAGCCACATTCTCCCGCCACAAAAAGCTCATCATCCTCTCTGTTGCTGCCGCTATTTATTTTTCCACTTCATGAAAACTGCTTCCATATACTACTCCACTACCTTACTTAAACCCAGAAGAAATCTTGATCCTCCAGGCTCAGAACCCCAAAAGCAATCAAAAGCCTGTTACCACTCACTCCCCCTCTTGACCGTGATTGTCACCTGACCTTCGTGACAAACCTGCCAATAGATTCTGGTCCAGATACTCTCTAAGAGCAGTCCCACTGTGTGGCCGTTAGGCTTTGTGAGCCCAACCCCCCTTTATGGGCCTCTGCACCCTTGTGGTTAAAATGAAATATGGACTGCCTGAAGGTGAAAGAAAGTTTGAGTAGAAGAGGAAGGGGGATATGAAAGATGATACCAGCTGAGCCATTGAACCATGCAGACATGCACAGAGGGTGTTCTAATTTGTCTGAAAAGTTATTGTAGTGTTGCAAAATGTAGTCTTTTTGTTTCATGCTCCAGTTAATACATAATAGGGCTACTTTGTATCTGCCACTCTTACATCTCTCTACAGGCAATGGTTTATGACAAATATGCTGATAATTAAGATTAGATTGCAGAAATGGGAAATTCATACATTGTTAGTATACCCGGCTGACCTCGTGTAGGTGTGATACCATGCTAGGATACATTTGGACCTAGATCCTGGGAAATGCTAGAGAAAGTTCGATTGGTGCAAAATAGTTGGGAAACTGAGCATGGGAGATGATTTGGGGGAAAATAAATAAAACATGGTTCTAACATAAGAAATCTATTTTAGATCTTTGTTAGAACTTAGAACTAGTTTTATTTCCATATACTATTGAAAAAATAGACCATTTTCTGTGAATCCTGTTATTTGCAGCTTTTGATGGTTCGCTTAATATATTATTGAGTGGGTATTTCTTGATCCTCATGTTAATGGCAAAATCTCTTCCAGGAAGGTTTATGACTTTTATGACTTTTATAACTTTTCCAAGGATGTGTTTCATTTGGAGAAGTTGAGTAGTACGGAGTACTTTTTAATGGCGTTGGCTATGCTTTCTGAAAAGGCTACGTTTTATATCGATGATTCCCTAATGTTATATTCATTCATCTTTTACCGTTTGGAAACTTGAAAATAGGAAAAAGTTGGATTAATCTTTGCTCTTTAAAGCTAATGAAAATTAATAAGAGTAACAATAAAAATGATATTAGGAATAAGGGAAAAATAATTAAAACACCTCAAACTTTAAATGAGTGTGGGATGAACACCCCAAACTTGCATATGTAATTTAAATGTCTCAAATTTTATATAAAAAGTTATTTTAGCATCATAGAAATGTATTATTTCTTTCAAAAATGTAAATTTATGGTGTTAATTGTATAATTTGAATTACTTTAGAAATTAATGAAGACACAATTAACATTCTAAACATCTATTGCGAAATAAATAATGTAAACACCAATTTATATAATTGCAACACTTTTAATTTGCTATTTTAAATTATGCAATTAACCTCATAAATTTACATTTTTGAAAGAAGTAATACATGACAAAGGTGTGAAAATAATTTTTTATATAAAATCTAGGGTATTTAAATTACATATGCAAGTTTGGGGTATTTTTTTTATTTTTCCCTAAGAATAAATACTCCAGCCTTCCCGAAAGTATAAGTTTTATTTTTTTGGCAAGGGAAAAAGTTAATACTCCCTCCACCCCAATACCCCACTAAGAATGGGACGATTCAATTTAAGATGCATAATCGACGATAAAGTAAACAGATCTCTGTCTGCACTCAAATTTTATTTAGAAAAAGAATTAAATATTCAGAAACTACATTAAAAGTTTACCAAGTAGCAAAAATCAGAATCAAATTTTATAAAAAATTGATATATAAAGTAAGATATTAAGAGTGATTTGTGTTGATCAAATGAATAGGAATTGGAACAATCTTAACAGGACGGAGAGAGTAATATATAAACCGATTTTTTCCAACTGGTTCCGGCTTTGAACTAGTTAAATCGATTGAGTTTCGAATGGACCCGTGCACACTCCCACCTAGGGGTGGACTGGATTGGGCCGTCTCGAGACCCGGCCAAGCCCGACACTATTGGGACCCGACCCGGTGGACCGAGCCCGAGACCGGGGCTGAGGCCCGAACCGCTAATTTGATTGGGCGGGCTCTGGGACATGAAAAATGTGAACCGACTCAGCCGGGTCAGGATTGGATCCAAAAACGGTCAACATTTCACATTTGCAAACACACGTCTTTGATCATAATTATATCTTAATTCTATTAGTAAAAAAATATTAAAATCAGATTTTGAATATTTGTAATGAGATGAATTGAACAATATTTAAAAAAATAATAATTTTCATAAAATAATAGCGTAAAATGTAGTCAAAGTAAAACATGTGAATAGTGTAAAATTCAACATGTTGGATTAAAAACGGAACAGAGGAAAGGATCAACCTTCCTAAAGGCATTCTTTCTCCAAGCAACTAGCACTCTGTAAAACGGACTGGTAATGGGCTGGGCATCGAGTCATGGGACTCATCAGTCCCAAACAAGTTGGGCAAAAGCCCATTCGCCGGTCCAATAAGTTTGAGTTGTCCATCAAGTTACATTGGTTTCCTTAAGTGATTATTATTTCAAAGTTGGTTATGAACCAGAACTGGCCCGATCCGGTCCACCCTAGTTACAACTGCTCCAGTCAAATCCAGGCTCTTCTTGAAAACAAGTTCAAGAAAGCTGCCCAGATTTTCTATTTTACCTTAAATAAGGAGCAAGACTGAACCATAAGCAAGTAATTGGGAGAATGTAATTCCTCTGGGTTTTTCACAGATCACAATACAAAGGAAATGTTTAATTGCACTTAGGACACAGACTTCTCTATTGCCCATTAAATTAAACAACTAAAGAGTCGATGATGATCAAATACTTAAAATAAGATGCAAGGGCCAGATCTACTTGAAGCAGAGCTTAGCCCATGGCATACTTCTGAGTCCAGCTCCTTGCTGTAGTCTCATATTTGTTCCTGTCTATCTTGTACATCTGTGCAATTTCTGGTACCAAGGGATCATCAGGGTTTGGGTCCGTCAAGAGAGAGCAGATCGAAAGCAGGACCTACAATTTCAAAATCGTTTTTTCACTGAATGAAATCTAAACGACAGCATATACTAATAAGATTTCAAATTTCATCTAAAATATCTACTCTTTAGGACATAAAGAACCCAAAGCTAGTATTCTTGGATGTGAAATGGCTTAATATAACCACAATACGGTTATATTATTTAGCATTGCAAGATTGACTTACTAGAGCAAACCAATATTGTAAGTAGTGATCACTATGTAGGCTTTTATATATAGATGGAAGCTGTTTTGGGCCTTCTCATCCAATATTGTGTATCAATGTTCAATTTAGCATAAATGTGTGTGATGTTTGTACATGCAGAAATTCACACACAAAGTGCGCGTGGTATTAGAAATGAACCTTGGAAATTGTGAGAGCAGGGCTCCACTGCTCCTTCAAGATGTCAAGGCATATACTCCCGTTGCTGTTAATGTTTGGGTGGAAAACTTTTGTCTTGAAAGCCACCTGCAAGTTTAATAATTTGAATCTAAAGATTAATATGTTTAGAGTTCTTGATCTCTATATATAATATATATATAGATAAAGTAAAATCAATATGAACATATATGGAAATAAATGAGCAAGTTCCATAAATAGGACTAAAAGTCTAAAACATAAGTCATCTCTTCCAATAGGCCCACCATTGCTTTTTTCTCATAACATGACTTGTATTGGCATTTACTCCTAAATGAAGATGTTTATTAGAACAAGAATACACATTAGTCCTGTTATCAGGATAAGACAAGAATAGTCTTATTTACGTACTTCACTCATTTTTAATCAATATGCAGCAATTCCTTAAAATAAATTTGAGTTTGAACCAATTTTTTATTCACCTATATTTTTCTTGCTAGTTTATTTCACAGTCTTTATCTCAAAACTACCTATCACATGTTGACATGTTCATTAGTAAAAGTCACAATGATCTTTATATCATGAGCAGCCTTGATTATGGGTTTATCATATCTATTTAAGTATTGTTTGTTCTTAAAAATCATTTGAAAAAACTTAATTGACTATCCTGCAGAGATTCCAGTTCAAAATTTTGAATTACAGGCACTTAAGTGTGTGCACCTAAGGAATAACAAGAGATGGAAACACACCTTTGGTGGCTTGAAGGGGTAATCTGGTGGGAAATGGATTGTAACCAAGAAAACTCCACCAGTGTAAGGACTATCTGGAGGACCCATTATAGTTGCTTGCCAATGAAACATGTCCTCAGCAACAGGGCCTATAATAAATGCAATGTTAAACTAGGATGTAAGTTGTTAAAATATATGTAACATGTTAACATATGGTAATAGAAACCCTTAAAGTTTAGTCCACTACACTTGGGGCCTGTTATTTTCTTATGTAAGTACTAAGTCGCGTATTAGTCTTAGGAAGACAGGATTGACGAAGTTGTAATTCAAAAGGCCATATCAACAAAATTACAAATTTGCAATCCGGGTAGTTTTAATGCAAAAACACTAACAAAGTGCTTTTAAGACATAAGCAGGAATTTTACTAGACAATCAAAACATAGTTCAAACTTTAGACCAAACTGACTTGATTTAAAATTTACTCAGAAGATATCCTTGTGAAGTTGTACGGAGTAAGCAGGAAATATGGAGCACATGATCACTCACTAACTTAATTACAACAAACAGTGATTGTGATCATATTTTAAAATTGATTCGATCCAGATATGTCTAAATCAATGCAGCTTACAGTGCCCATAGGGTATAATGTTTATGCAGGCAGCAAAGGCTCCCGCTTCTACTTAAAGTAAATCAAATCAAAACTGCTATAACGATCAAAATCACGAGCAATTTTTTTTAATGTAAATATATAAGCAGCACGGAACTTCGCTGCAATTGCATAACTTCAAACACAGATGAATGATTTGTTAATCAATAAAATAATAAAGCCAGAAAACGGAGAAGAAAATTGAGAGGGGCAGCGTTTTGTAGCATCTAAACAAAAGCAGTGTAATAAATGGGGGTTTCAGATTTTACCAGCACTGCAAGAAGTAGGAGGATCCTTCTGAAGATCCTTTAGCTCCTTCAGGATCCGCTTCGAAGCCATGCCTTCCAATCCAGTCAATTCCAACTTAGATCGAGTTCTAACCTTTCAAGATTACTTTGTTACTTTTTGCCCACTTTACAAAGAAAAAAGACGACGTTCATGAAATAACATGTTTCGATTCGGAATAGCAAAAACAAAATCGGAAATTGAACCTGATGTGATGAATCTAGAGAATCCGATTCGGATCCTCAGCGGGTGGCGCTTGAAGCTCTGTAAATTCAGCAACGCAAGCTGGGTTTTTTATTTTCACACGGAATTGATCAAGTACAACGTTAGAAGAAGCCAACAGATATATAGAGCTTGATCGACGAAGGTGCTCCGGACAAGACTCTTCAGAAAAAGAAATTCAAAAAGTAAGCAGACTGTTTTGCCATTTTATCCCTCTGAATGTGTGAAATTAGAGTTTTATCCACTTAATAGGCTTAATTACCATTTGGTTCGTGATTTGTAACCAAAACGTATTTTATAGGAGTATAGGACCCAAATTATGTGCATTTTATATTAATTCATATATTTTTGGAAGAACTATAAAATAAGCCCTTGAACTTTCATAAAAAGTGCAAATAAGGCTTTTTATAGAAGACTCTTTCCGGCCCTCACCATTTGAGGCGATTTCCGGTAGAATTTTTTAATATTTTTTTTTGAGAATCTTCTTCATTAAGTCTAGTTTACGCATAACAAATTTCAATTAAAAATTCAATTGGGAAGGTAGTCAAATGAATTTTTGAAGATAACTGCGCAGTCAGGCAGCGCAGTATATTTCAGAAAATCGTTTGACTGCCTTCTCGATTGAATTTTTAGCTGAAATTTGGTATGAGTAAACTAAACTTAATGAAGAAGATGCTCAAAAACTTTCATCAAAAATTCCATCGGAAACCGCCCTAAATGGTGACAGCAGGACAAAGCCTTATGTAAAAGGGCTTATTTGCACTTTTTATTAAAGTTCGAGACTTATTTGATAGTTCTCTCTATATTTTTATATTATACGTTTATTTTAAAAGGGAAAAATAATAAAAATAACCCAAAATTTGAACGGTGTGAGGTAATCAACCCAAACTTGCATATGTTATTTAAACATTCCAAACTTTATATAAAAAGTTAATTTCACTCCGTTTAATGTATTATTTTTTTCAAAAATGTAAATATATGGTATTAATTGCATAATTTAAAATATTTTAGAATTCATGAAGACACGCCAATTAATAATTTAAACTTTAATTGCAAAATAAATCATGTGACCTCCCATCTATATAATTGCAACACTTGTAATTTGCTATTTTAAATTATGCATTTAACCCCATAAATTTAAATTTTTGAAAGAAATAATACATGACAGTAGTGCGAAAATAACATTTCGTATAAAGTTTGGGGTATTAAAATTACATATGCAAGTTTGGGGTGTTTACCTCACACCCCTTCAAAGTTTGGGATATTTTTATTATTTTTCGCATTTTAAAAATATGTGCATTTATATTAAACCATATACGTTTTAAATAATTATATGGAGTAATATATTTTATGTTATAATTATTGAAATATAAAATTTTATTGTTTTTAAGTTATTTCTATTGTTTAGATTGATAGTAAAAAGTAAAAAGATAGTTAAATGATAATGATTCAATGCTTTTTTAGCAGAAAAATCATTCCATTGAGAATGATCTCTTAAAAGTTAATTCAAATGGAATGAAATTTTTATTCTAATCTCAACGTGAACAATTTATTATAGTCATTGACGAATACATATTCACACTGATAAAAATTAGTTAACAACATATTAGATTGAACATGAAAAGTTATCATCGAGCCAATAAATCTATATAAAAATGGATTTAAGAATATGCAATAAACCTATAAAAAGTGTATCTAGCCATTGAAAGACTTCAAAAAACAATGATGGTATAGCCGTATAGGCGTGAGCTGTGTCTTATTTGTGTCAACAATCATAGCGATGATCCGGACTACTCCTAAACCACCGCCAGAGGATGAACGAGGTGCTAGGGTTCAAGCAGGACCGGCCCTGGGCCTGTCTGCCCAGCCCAACCGCACAAGGCCCGGTATTTTGGAGGGCCTAAAAAAAATTAGTATTACCCCAGCCCATAAGTTTTTAGCCCAAATCAATTCCCCCAGGCCTCAAATCGGCAAATCCCCCCTTCTCCGCTCGGCTGCTCGCTGCTCTTCACGACAAAGCGACACCGCCAGACCGCCTCTCCACAGGACCACAACCGACGAGGCGACGACTCCAGCCTCTAACGCACACTGCCGGCGCCTCTCCACAACCGACGAGGCGACGACTCCCCTGCCGGCCCTGCGCAATCCGACACGTGGCCCTCTCCTGCTCTCCATGACTCGACTTCAGCCTGAACGCACACCTCACTCCGCAGCAGCCCGCAGCCGACCACCTCCCCCGCCCTCCGGTCTCCCTCAGACGCCCTCCTTCCGGTCAGTTGCTAATTTGCTAATTCTTTTATTCATTTAGTTGCTAATTTGCTAATTCTTGTGAACTTTTGATTTATTGAATATTTGAATTGATGAATTGTTTGTTGAAATCTTGTAATTTGTTTATTTTCAGATTTAATGTTTGTTGAATTGTTGTGTTGTTGTTATTTGTTGATTTTTTGCATTTAAAGTAAATCATTATTTGAATTGATAATAAATGTGTAATTTTGTAAATGTGTTTAGCAATTAAAATTGATAACTTAAGGTTGATAAATTGGTAACTTGAGGTTGATAAATTATAATTATACACTAGTATAGTCATTCATGCTTTCACCCTAATTTTAAACTTAATATTAATTTAAAATTTATAAACATGTACGGGATTATAGGAGAATTTCAATAATTGGTAATAATTATGTTTCCATATAAATACCAATCCGGTCATGAAAAGCGTCAAAGGAAAAGAAGACTTGAGAAGTTAACTCAATCTAAAAAATGAGCTCTTGATAAGTTTATTATTAAAGAAGTTAGAGATGTTCAAGAGGGTGAACAACAAGAAGTGAATGTTGAAAATAATGTTGAAATACTTGATCAATGTGTTAACGAAATGGCTGAGAATTCTGATAAAGAGGACCACAGAATTGATGTTTTAGATGATAGGCCAAATAATTCTGCTTTATTTGACATATATGATCCAAGAAACTGGGATGTTCTAGATTCAAAGTTGACAGACACTTTGGTAGAGAATGGTCCTAAAAAAGATTTAAATTTTGTGGAAGGGCCTAAAGATAAATTCTCTAGAAGATTCTCATCAGCTTTTTACACTAGAAGTTTGCCTAATGGAGAGAAATGTGATAGAGATTGACTTGTTTATTCAAAGGAACTTGATAGGGTATTTTGCTTCTGTTGTAAGAATTTTAGAAAAGGTGTAGGCAAAGGTTCTTTAGCTAACACGGGTTTTGATGATTGGGGACATCTTAGTGCTAGACTGAGAGAACATGAAACAGGTGTGGAGCATATGGGTAACATGAGGAGTTGGGTAGAGTTGAGGCTTCGATTACAAAAAAAATGAGACAATTGATAAAGTAGCTCATGATCAACTTTTGAAAGAAAAAGAGTTTTGGAGGCAATTGTTGTTTAGGGTGATTGCAACTGTGAAATATCTTGCTAAGCATAATTTGGCCTTTCGTGGAACGAATGAGCGGCTCCATCAGAATCACAATGGGAATTTTTTAGGATTAATTGAGATGCTGGGTGAATTTGATCCTGTTATTCAAGAGCTTATTCGTCGCGTCGACAATAAGGATACTCATCATCATTATCTTAGTCATAAGATTCAAAATGAATTGATAGAGATGCTTGCTTCAGGAGTAAAATCTAAGATCATTAAAACAATCAAAGAATCTAAATATTTTTCTGTCATACTTGATTGTACTCCTGATTCGAGTCACCAAGAACAAATGACTTTGATATTAAGATGTGTTGATATCTCCTCTTATCCGATTAAAATAGAAGAATTTTTCTTGGAATTCTTGGTTGTGAATGACACGACAGGACTTGGCCTTTTTGAAGTGTTGCAAAGTGTGTTAAAGTCTCTTGATCTTGATATTGATAATGTTAGAGGACAAGGATATGATAATGGATCAAACATGAGAGGTACGCATCAAGGTGTGCAAAAAAGACTCTTGGATGTAAATCCTAGGGCATTCTATACTCCTTGCGGTAGTCATAGCCTTAATTTGACCTTGTGTGACATTGCTAATTGTTCTCGAAAAGCAAGAGATTTTTTTGGAGTAGTGCAACGAATCTACACACTCTTTGCTAATTCTACAAAAAGATGGCAAATTTTAAAAAACAATGTCCAAGGATTGACTCTAAAATCTTTATCAACCACTCGGTGGGAAAGTCGTGTGGAAAATGTCAAAGCAATAAGATTTCAAATCAGTGACATTCGAGAAGCATTGCTAGAATTGGCCGAGACAGACAATGATTCTAAAATACAAAGTGAAGCTAGATCCTTAGCTACAAATGATCTTTGTAATTTTGAATTTTTGCTTGCTACAGTTATTTGGTATGAAATATTATATGCTGTTAATTTGGTGAGCAAAAATCTACAAGGAAAAGATATACTTCTTGATGTTGCTATTGTTGAAGTCAAAGGGCTAATTTCTTTTTTTGAGAAGTATAGAGAAACTGGTTTTTCTAGTGCTATGCATGTGGCTAAAGAAATAGCCAGTGAATTGGAAGTTGAACCAGTGTTTCCTCAGAAGCGTGTAATTCGCAGAAAAAAACAATTTGATGAGAGTGTTGGTGAATCTTCTGTATCATCCACATCAACACCAGAAGAGCTGTTCAGAGTGGAATACTTTGTCTACATAGTTGATCAATCTATTGGCTCATTGACACGGAGGTTTGAGCAATACAAAGTATATGAAAATATGTTTGGGTTTTTGTTCAATTCTGAGAAGTTACAATCTCTTACGGATTTAGATTTGGAGTCATCTTGCACTCATTTACAAACAGTACTGCAGAGGGATGGGCAATGCAGCGATGTTGATGGCCACGATTTGTATATTGAGCTGAAGTTGCTTAGAGAGATTTTGCCAAAGGAAAAGATAGGGGCAACAAGAATTTTGAATTCTTTAAAAGAAATGAATTGTTTTCCAAATGCCTTTATTGCGTACAGAGTTTTGCTAACCATTCTGATTACAGTGGCCTCGGCAGAACGAAGTTTTTCCAAGTTGAAGTTGTTGAAGTCCTACTTGCGGTCAACTATGTCACAAGAGAGACTCAATGGATTGGGTTGATATCCATAGAATCTAAAACACTCGAAGAGATTGACATTGCAAGTTTGGTAGATGACTTTGCATCTAAGTATGCTCGAAGAATGTCTC